ATCTTTGTACTCTGAAATCACGTCCACCTTGGAGCTACCGGATTGAGCAATTCTCTGTAAGATCCACAGAGCTCAACCTTTGAGTTGATCATGTCTACGATACCTTATGAAGTAGTGCTATTTCAGTACTTCTGCGAATATATAAGAGGAAACCCTTCTGCATAAGAAAATTCCGATATAGTGTAACGGCTAGCACGGTTCGCTTTCACCGAGCAGACCCGGGTTCGACTCCCGGTATCGGAGCTTTTTTTTTTCAAAAACATACACCTCTCAATATCAAATCTGAGTGATTGACACTGTTTTATCGATATGAAAACAGATTCCATTTTACCAATTGCAGAGCCTATCCAACAACATGACATTATCTCATTGTTCTTGCCAAATGAACAATAAATAAGTTATGCATTTTTTGTCGTATAAATAGTATAAATATATTTGTTCCTGCAGCTGGGCCTTCATGGTTCAACAATCTCCAACTGCACAGTCTCATTCAAGGAGGAGTGGGTCAATCCATCAATTGCGAAGCCATTCTCACTAACAAACAAGATATGGTTATCCACAACTGTATCTTCAGTTACGTGTGCTGGTGAAGGTTTCCCCAAATCTATGGATTCCAACACAAACTTCTCTCGAAGGTCGAACGAATCGATCGACTCGTCGAGATCAACTATGAGTAATTCTGCAGTCTGTGCATCTTCCAACTGCGCATCCTTGAGTACAATTGGAGCGTTATCTTCCTGGTATAGAGGGCTCCCTGCTGTTATATGATGAATCTTTGAGGTTCCATTAGAATCTGTCACCTTTGCGTAAGCGTCAAACGAGGCACTGCGGTTCTTCAAGAGGTCGATCAGAACAGAGCACGCGCCTCTGTTGTTCAATTCATAGATGACATTACCGTCAGCCTTGGTGATGGTGTAGGCCTCCTTGTGCAATGGCTTAAGGTTGTGCAAATGTCTCAACAGATTCACAGACATTGGTAACTCCAATTCCAACTCACTAACGTTTTGAATAGGAGAATGCAGCCCCATGGAAACACTCAGCCATGAGAAGCTGTTAATGGACTCGAAATACTCACCTTCTGGGAAGAGGTCGAGACTCGTTCCTTGGAATTGAAGGCGCAGCTTGGTCTTGTTTATGTCCCATTGGTCCAAAGATGGAGTCTCCAATGGTTTCCAAGATCGCACTCCTAGGCGAGATGACAACCACAGATGACTGACCGTCTCAACACCTTTGCTCTTTGGATTGGATGCAATCACCACAGATAGATCCGGTAACTCCTGCTGAAGATCCGTGGTTTGCTCCACCACTTGCGAGACAGAATCATTCGTCGTGAAGCACAGTAAAGAACGAGGCTCAAAGGGTAAGCTGGCTAGTGCATTTCTCAGCTGGTACTTCTGGAAATTGTACACTGTTTGTGCCACATGCTGTCTAAACAGTGTTGTTGTTCTCTTCATTGTCTGCCCTCGTTTCACTGCTAACCTCTCTTACCCTTTGTTGTCTACAAAGGCCCTTTGGTGATGGCTATCTTCCTGTCTGTGTGGGGAATGGACGACTATCCAAGCAGAGTTTAATCAGCGGCTAATACAAAGCGCTCTCCACCCACTTCCTGCTGGCCTCCACCTCCCACACGACGAAACAACCGCGGCGGGAAGCGCGCGCTTTTAATTTACTTTTTGGTAGGGGCAGCAATGTCCGCGAGCTCGTACTGGGCCCAGAAGTATTGTGGGGTAAAAACAAGCGGCAAGACAGAGCGGCAAAGAAGACACAAAAAGTATATAAACAAAGGGCTCTGGATGTTTGCTTTGTTTTGATTGACTGGCTGCTTCAACACAGCTTCAGTTGGCCAATAGGGCGGGAAAGAGGAATGTCTTCAGAGGAGATGCAAAGGGAAAGAGCGCAGTGCTCTTTCAACACGAGAGAGCTTACGCACTTCCTCGATAACGGAGCTGAGAACACGGCTAAGCTGGAGAAGATGATGCTTCAGTTCGAAAGGGACCCGGTGTTTAAGATCCCACTGTACGATCTCTCTTGGAAAGAGCAGCGTGAGATGACGTTCAGGAGAATCACCAGAATGGTTCCCTTCATCGCGAGTGATACTGAAGAGGAGTTCATCAAGCGGTTTGGGCTCTTGGGGATCTTTGATGGAGCTACATACACCAGACTGGGTGTTCACTATGGCCTCTTTATTCAGACAGTGAGAAGCATGGGCACATCTGAGCAGGTGCAGAAGTGGATCGTTGATAAAGGCGGTGTGAACTGCCACAAGTTCTTTGGCTGCTTTGGTATGACGGAGTTGACACATGGATCAAACGTTGCCGGGTTGCAGACCATTGCGGAATACGATCCGGATGAAGATGTGTTTGTCATAAACACGCCAAACTTGGGTGCTACGAAATGGTGGATTGGAGGTGCTGCTCATAGTGCTACGCATTGTGTTGTCTATGCCAGATTGGTGGTTAAGGGTCGGGATTATGGTGTCAAACAGTTCATCGTGCAGTTGAGAGACATTGACACGTTTGAACTGTTGCAAGGAATAGCCATTGGTGATATTGGTAAAAAAATGGGCCGTGACGGCATTGATAATGGCTGGATTCAATTCACAGACGTTGCGATTCCAAGGGATAACATGTTGTGCAAATACACACAGGTTGACGATGAAGGCAACGTTTCCAAACCTAAATTTGCAGAGCAGATGGGTTATGCAGCTTTGGTTAAGGGAAGAGTATCCATGGTGACTGATTCTTATAATACCGGTAAGAGATTCATCACAATTGCATTGAGATATGCAGCGATGAGAAGACAGTTCGGTAAAGATAACGAAGGAAATGAAAAGAAGATTATCGACTACACTCATCACAGAAGAAGATTGTTCCCTTTGCTCGCTTCTGTTTTCGCCATGAATTCTTCAAGTATTGAAGTTGAAGCATTCCAATCTAAAGTTCAAGAACAAGTTATTGAAGGTAACATCGCTGAAGCTATTCCAAACTTGAAGGATTTGTTTGCCCTCTCAGCTGGTATGAAGGCATTTGGTACTTGGGAAACATGTAAGATTATTGATGAGGGAAGACAAAGCTGTGGTGGACATGGTTACTCTGCATATAATGGCTTCGGTCAAGGCTATAATGATTGGGTAGTACAATGCACTTGGGAGGGAGATAACAATGTGTTGAGTTTGAGCTGTGGAAGAGCACTAATTCAAAACTATTTATCCATGGAGAAGGGTGAGGCCCTTGGTATCTATTCAGCTTATTTGAAGAACAATGAGAACATGGAACTCAAGTCCGAGGATTTGAACAACACCGCTGTTTTAATAAAGGCTTGGGAGACCATATCGAGAAATTTGATTAAGAAAGCTACAAATAGTTATGCAAAGTTCTTTTCTGAGACGAAAGACCAGGAAGCATCGTTTGAAAAGGTCTCCTCGAACAGGTTCCAAATTGCAAAGATCCACACGAAATTGTTGACTTTGAAGACTTTCTACCAAAGAATTCAAAGTGCAAATGAATCAGTTAAACCTGTCCTATCTCTGTTGTGTAACTTGTATGCACTCCATATCACATCTGAGAACATTGCCGAGTTTTACTCGTTTGGAGTAATTAGAGGTTCAGACTTCTACGAAGATCTCAACTATATGATTGATCAGCTCAATGACAGATTGAGACCTGATATCGTTGGTATCACAGACGCTTTCAATTTGAGTGACTTCTTCCTCGGTTCGCAAATTGGGAAGAGAGATGGTAATATCTATGAGTCGTATTTCTCGTTTGTAAATGGTCAGACTGGTAAGGAGATGAAACCATTCTATTATGACAGCACTTATAAGCCATTCCTACATAGAGAGCTGAAGAAGAGTGACAATGATGCAGCTGAATGATCCGTTAATTAACAAGGTGTATACCTTGTCCTCCGTTGACCAATACATCCCTTATGTTTTCGATGGTTCTCAGCGTAGAATTTCTAAAGTTATCCTCTGTGAACGATCCCAGATGTGGCAGTATGGTAACATCATGTCTGTTTACGAATCTTGGGTCTATGTTCGGCTCATTCTGGAAAACATCCAAGCCTGCAGAGTTGATGGTTCCATCGTCCAATGCCTTCAACAGCACATCTTCATCGATGGCAGATCCACGTCCAATATTGACAACTCTAGCACCTCTTTTGAACAGTTTTATGGTATCCTTGTTGATAAGGTGTGTTGTTTCAGAACTGTGTGGGACAGCCAATACCAACAAGTCAACGTGTGGAATCAGCTCCTCGAATGAATTGAAATAAGTCGGTTTGTACGGTAAACCTGACAATTCGCCATCTTTCAATGGCGTTCTCTTGGTATAAGATATCTCCATGCCAATGGCCCATAGCCTAATGGCAATCTCCTTGCCAATTGAGCCCAGTCCAACGATCCCTGCAACTTTACCAGCTGGTGAGTTCAAAGCCTTCCCACCAACGGTCACGTATTTCGTATAGTTCTTTCTCTTTGGGTCAGTTGGAGGCAGAGGCTCCCTTGTCTTGGTGTCTACGTCTGTTCCGCCAATCACCTCTCTTGCCTTGGCAATGCTCCCGTTGCTCTCCCTGAGCTTGCGTTCAAAGAAGTGCGTGTATCTAAACGTCCCCAGTGTCAACTGCAATGCGATGTCTGCCACGTCCTTTGAAGGCGCATCGCCAATGTTCACGAGATGAATCCCCCTTGATCTCAATTGGGCACCGTCGATACGATCATGCCCAACCCATGGAAGGGCAATGACTCTCAATGTCTCCGGGAAATAGTCAATGAGGTCGTTAAACGGATACTGCAGCCTGATGACGGCTCCTGTCAGCCAAATGGCTTCGACATCGTTCAGGTCGCCTGTTCGAAACAGCTCCTTGATGTCTTCAAACGGCTGGTCAAATGATTTGTACACAACATTGAAATCCTTCTCAAACTGGCGGAACTCTGGTATATGATCTGGATACTCCTCGTTCGATAGAGAAGCAACAGGATAGAGGACTTTAGGGGCACCCATGGCTTGACTGTGGTCAATTGACTGCTGATGCTGATATGTCGGTGGCAAACACAGAGACGGCCCAGTAAATATATATAGCTGTGAGTTACTCCAAGTCTAGGCAACGGCAATGATCAACACTTCATCATTGGTGGCTATACATTCGCAATCCACGTATGGAAACGCAATCGGAGTTGTTGCCTGTTTGGGCCTTATATGCGATGCCGGCCCTTCCTACAGAGAGCCGTCCACTCCACTGGCTGTGTAGCATACTGGCGTGGTAGCTGTGATACCTGGTGAGCTTTCTACGACGGGGTTGCTGGCTGTGTCGCTCTTATCGACGGCTTAAGTCGTCGCCTTCCATAGCAGCAGGTTATATCATAGGCACAATTATATGATGATATAATTATATAATTATAATATTTATAACAATTATCGCGACGTACACCGCCGGCGCTGCGATCCCTCCCAAACACATCCATTCTCCGAATCTGCTTCCATCTTCCTTTCCCCCTACCACCAATCCCTTGTCCAGTGATTGAGC